TCAGAGGGAGTCGGAGTTGAGAAGAAACAAGGGGAGGGAGTCAGAGTCGCCAAAGAAGATAAATTTAGAGGTCTGTGTAGTGTGGTGTAGCTAGAGAAAAAACAGAGATGGAGAGTTGAAGTCAAGAGAGAGAAACGGAATTGGGAAGGACTTACGAGTGAGTAGAGTTAGTTTTTACGAATAATTCAAATTCAATTCCAATCAAATCCAACAGTCACAAATACTTCAAATATATAATAATAATAATAATAATTAATAAAACATACATATATATAGATATTTATTGTTTGTTCGGTTTCGTATGGTATTATCGAACTTATGTCCCGATTCCCATATTGAATTATTAGAGTTTTTTGGGTAATTGGTTACTGAATTATTTGGTATTGGTAGTTCGGTATTTTTATAGAGCGATTTTGAGTACGGTTCAATTCGATTTCTATTTGTTCGGGTTTTTTTACAACCCTACTTACTTAGAAGCAGTTGACCAAAGCATTGGTTATAGGGAAAATCCTCCCTTACAACTAGTACATACAATAAATAGATAAAAAGAAAAAAAATAAGGCCTTGCATTTCGACAAAAGACCCACACTCAAATTTCATAGCTTTGGGTCCGCTATCTCGATCGTGATTTTCCTACCCCAAAGGGAAAGGTCCTTCCCTTATTACAACTAGTACATAGATGAATATTCTTTTATCTTTTTTAGAGCAATTTCGTTTATTAACAATGGGCCGTTTTATGCCACGTTAGGAATTTTAGCTGAGAGAAATGCTAAGGAGATTTTCTCAAAGTGAAATTCTCTATAGACTCTCTGTCTCCTCACAGTTTAACTTAATTTTCGTTCCAATATTATAAAATATTATGCCAAAAACATGATGTGGTAAAGAGTCCATAGAGAGTCATACTTTTGAGAAAGTCTCCTTAACATTACTCTTTCGGCCGAATAGTTAACGAACTTAAGAGTGAGGGTAAAATGGGACGTGAAACACCAGTTAAGAGGCCAAAAATGGATCACTTTAACTTTCAACTCTGTCGGTGGCTAATCTAACATCTAATCTAATAAAATTTATCGTTTGACAAAAAAAAAAAAAAAAAAAAAAACTTTCAACTTCAGGGAACAATGTGAGATTTGTATTATATTTTCAAGTGAACTTTAACGAAAAGCACCTGGTACGGTTCACTTTAACGAAAAACCATATTTTTACACTAAAAAGTCAATTCTGGTACTATTCATTTTACCCTTTATTTTGTTCTTATCATTAAAACTCAAAGTTTTTAAGCTCTTTTCATTAGTTTTTCTTATTTTCAAAAGCAAAACAACTTTAGCTCATGGAGTTCATTTTCAAAGGCAAAAATGAATCACTTTAACTTTCAACTCTGTCGGTGTCCTAGTTACTTCAGGGTGCGTTTGGTACGTGGGACGGGACGGGACGGAACGGGACGAGGCGTTCCGTCCCGCGTTTGGTGCGCCAAAAATGGGTGGAACGGTTTGTTCCACGGGACAGATTTTGGGTGTTTTTGCGTCCCACCTCCACCCCCTGGAACGGGTTTGTTCCACGTCTGTGGAACACAATGTTTTACCATTTTAAGACAAATATACCCCATGTCTTTTTCAAAAATTACACCTTCGTTCCGTCCCGTCCCGTCCCGTTCCGTCCCGTCCCGTCCCGTTCCGTCCCGTCTGCGTACCAAACGCACCCTCACAGCATCAACTTTGTCAGAAACGCCAAAGTGGCTGGTAAGGAACTGATTTATTTACTAAGGATTTTCATTTTGTATTTTAGGACTCATTTCTTCTTTTTTTTTCTACCAAGTTTTTTTTTTAATTTTATTCAATTCAGAAGCTAAAAAAATAAAATAAATGAGTGCATGGGTAAAAAAAAGAAGTGCGAAAATCACTTTAGTTTCTTTATATAAAATGAAAATTAAAAATCACTTTGTATATATAAAAATGAATAGTTTTGGCACACTTAATTTGTGTTGAATATATTTGAGTGTATAGAAAACGCTCCCCGTGTGGATTTGGAGTAGATTGGGATTTGGGCCTCATGATAGTGGTTTCAGTTTGTTTTATCTTGGCCCAACGAAAATTCCGTGGCAAAAGAAAAAGAGTCCCTCCATCATTAGCGAATTAAACAATTCAAAATAAATTATCAAATCAAAAATGGAAATCTCAAATTGTTGATCGATTCAAACATCCCAACTAAAACCCCAAAATTCACCAAAACATTTTGTGCCGATTTTGGATCTCAGTCCAAGTGTACGTACGGAGTTCGCAAATGGCCGCAAGACAAATGGAAGAGATACAGAGGAAGCTGGCGATGCTGAATTATCCCAGGGCCAATGCGGCTGCTCAGTCCCTCCTCTTCGCCGGCATGGAACGCTACGCCCTTCTCGAGTGGCTCTTCTTCCGGTACACCACATGCCGTTTACTTCTTCTTTGACCTTTTGTGGTTCTCACTGTGTCTTGCATGTTTGATTGCCGCCGATTGTGTTGTGTAATTGCAGATTGCTGGGGGAAAAGTCGCCGTTTTCTCAACAAAATCTTCAAGGGGACGCCATGGATCGTGACGAAGAGACTGCTCGAATCCAGTGTAAGCCCTATTTTGTAGAATGTCGAATTGGGTCGTGCTAAATTTGTTGAGAATTTGATGAAAATGTACTTTATATTGGTTTTTGAATTCCATCAAATGGTTGATCTAAGTTATACTAATGTGTTGTCATGTTAATTTTATATGAAAATGTGGTCGTGATTTTTTTTAACCAGTCTTGCTTGCAAACTTCTGAAATTTTCCTGATGGATAATTAAGTGACAAACTGTGTTAAG